TTTTCTTTCTGTTACCTGTGTCCAGGTGTGTAACTGATTTTCAAGTGACTGCAATTTGCAACGCATTGAGTCATCGTCCAATTGTACCTAAAAAGGCAGAAATAAAATTTAATCCATAGCAAATAGCAAAGAGAAGAGTCCAAATGATGCTGGGCTACAACATGTTAATCATTAGGAAATTCATCTCATCTTTAGCCAGGTCATGTCTGTTTATTTCATTGACATTACAATGTCATTTCAACTCCTGCATTTGTGAAGCTGATAATGGGGCCAACTCAAATGCTGCAAGAGCTCCAAAAAAGGTCAAGGTAAATATGAGTGAACAACTTGCAATCCTTCTATTCCTCCTGTTGCTCACTGCTTGCCCCACCCCTACTCCCAACCCAGTCAAAGGATGCCTTGGGTCATTTTAAGTTATTAAAACTTGTGTTTGTATCACCTTTCATAAATTACCATATAGCTGCCCGATTTCTCAGTTAAGACACATGTGTGAGAGAATGTTAAAAAAAGACTATGGGAAGACAGAGAGATAAAATCTAAATCAGAAAATACCAACTAGCTTTTTTTTTAAACTATCTCCTTGTATTATGACAAATCAACACACCATAGTCTAAGACTGAACTGAGCACAGAAAGAGTATTCAATGTTATTGCAACATCAAATATTGCCATCAAACATTGTGAGGACATTAAAATTAATTAGATATTTTATTTAAAATGCCAGAGAGGAGCCTTGTTTCTAGTGGTAGCCTCCTACAGAGCGGATGGAGGCTATTCAGCCCATCAAGTCTGCACTGACCCTCTGAAGAGCATATGAGCCAGAACCAAGTTATTTTCTGGTAACAATCTGTTTGGGGGTCAAGTCCCATCCCAGCATTTGATGGTCACGGAAGGTGGTGATTGTCAACCTGTAAATCTTTCCATCATTCCTTTGTCAGACAATAAGAATGAGAGTTTCCTGGTGAGGTATCCTTGACACAGAGTGGAATCCTTCATGGTATGGCTCTGGCACCACGTTAACAACCTATTCCAGGAAACACAGATCATGAAGGGGGACGAAAGCATGTTGTTTGTTTGCCTTACACAAACTTCTACAAGAACGAAAGGAATGAGAGCAGGAGTAGACTGCATGGCCTATCAAGGCTGTTCTTCAACACAATAATGGCTGAATTTGATCTCCAGCACCATTTTCCCTTCTGGTCCATATATTCCACACTTAACACGAGATACCAAAATTCTGCTTATCCCAGTCTTTTGTACTCAATGATGAAATCCACAACCTTCCAGGATAGAGAATTTCAAAGATTCATAACTCTTTGCGTGAAATAAGTTCTCCTCATCTCAATCCTAAATGATTAGCCATACTGATCACTCCCATGTTTTAAATTCCCTAACAAGCAGAGACAATTGTTCAACCTCAACCCTGTCAAACTCCTTTAGAATTTTTTATTTTCTAACAAGACTATCTCCAATTCCTTTAAATTTCAGAGAATAGAGGCGGTATCTCACCAAAGGACAAATAAAACATATTTTTGCAGTGGCATAATTGTACAGCAACTTATTCTCTTAGTGTGGTTGATCTAAATAAATAAATACAAATACACCGGCCTTATGAATAAAAGTGGAGAATTTTGCACATTAAAATAATTACAGCTCAAACTGAAATACTAAAATAATTACAGAAATACTGCTTTGTGCTAGGACCTGCATTAAAGCCAACATAGTATTTTCCTGCCAAATTGAATCCAGCCTTCTGTCTGGTGGAACCTCCATTTTAGGAAATTTGTTTAGCTAGAAGTATATTTTCCTCGGATGGTGATGGCTAGCACGAGGGGACATAGCTTTAAATTGAGGGGTGATAGATATAGGACAGATGTCAGAGGTAGGTTCTTTACTCAGAGAGTAGTAAGGGCGTGGAATGCCCTGCCTGCAAAAATAGTAGACTCGCCCACTTTAAGGGCATTTAAATGGTCATTGGATAAACATATGGATGATAATGGAATAGTTTAGGTTAGATGGGCTTCAGATTGGTTTCACAGGTCAGCGCAACATCAAGGGCCGAAGGGCCTGTACTGCGCTGTTATGTTCTATGTTCTATGTTCTATGTTCTATGTTCAAGCAAAAAAAAGCTTATTGACATAACTTGCACCAACATAGTCTCTTCAAGACATAATTAATGATGATCAGTTTACAATCTACTTATAATTAAAAGAATACTGGTCACACCATACTAGTCTGGACGTATATCACCATTCTTTCATTGTGGTTGGGTCAAAATTCTGTAAATGCCTACCATCTACAAGCCTCGTAATAACAAGGACTCCAGCAGTTCAAGAAAGTCAACTAGCATTTCTCAGAGAAACTAGGGACAGACAGAAAATGACAGTTTTATAAACATTTGTAAGGCCTCTTGAGTAAATATCCAACAAAGTATAAGATTTTGTTTTAAATAACCTGTAGTAATCGACAATAGATCACCCGCTCTGTCCCTACCTTCCATGATTTTTCTGCTGCCTGCAAAACTGTTGCAAGAAGCTGTTGAAGAATAGTGAGCTTCTGTTTAAGCATTAGCTCACGATGCAGAGCTTCCTATAAAAGAAATATACATTCAGTGTTCATCAAACTTTAACAATCTGATAAACTCACATTCTTGTTTGTGCTTTAAAACTCCATTAAATAATTAAACCTTCAGATTTTGGATTACAGTAGTATAAAACCAAATGTACTCATCTACTTTTCTTACTCCTTCACAGGATGTGGGCAAAGCTGGCCAGGCCAGCATTAATAGCCCATCCTTAATTGCCCAGAACGTCTAGAATTACATCTGGAACAGACCAGGTAAGGATGGCAGTCTTCTTCCCTAAAGGACATTAGTGAACCAGGTGGGTTTTTCTGACAATTGACAATGGATTCAGGATCATCATTAGACTCTTAATTCCAGATTTTTTTAAATTGAATGCATCGCAGGGTTCGAATGCAGATCACCAGAACATTACCTGCGGATTTATAGCCTATCAATAATATCACAAAGTCATTGCCTCCCCTTCCAGAATGCATAAACTCACATTCCCTGACTGGGAATCGGACCTGGACCATGACGGTAAAAGCACCAAATCCTAACTACTAGGCCACTTTGGTGAATTAGAAGTGTACATTTTTATGAGATTCTAAATTGTCAATACTGTCTTCAGAAAAAGGTCTTGTGAGATATTACCTTTAGGTATTCAGACAGCTGCTGGATCTCCTACAAAACATAAATTACAGATAAAATCAATTTAAAGAACCAAAATTTGGTGTGAATGAACAAATGGTATTCAACACACTAACCTTCTTCTACATTAATCTTAATCGCTCCACTTAAATGCTTCTTGACTGACCAGAGATATTAGCTCCACTGTCCTATTCTACCAAACGCTATCTGCTAGATTAAATATTAAGTACCATTTGTGAGGTAACAATGAAATACTCTGGATGTTGGAAAGCTAAAATAACAGAAAGTGCTAGAAATATTCAGCAGAGCTGACAGCATCTGCATCAGGAAAATCAGAAGAGTTAACTGGAACTTCTTCAGCTCTGATAAAGAGTTACATTCAATTCAAACCATTATCATTTGTGACATATCTCCTGACATCGATTTAAAGCTTGCTTTTTTTTTATCAGGTGTTGCATATCACAATGACCTACAATGATGCTTGCAACATTTCTACTCCACTGAGTATCTTAAATATCTAACCCAATCATCTCCTTTCAAGACTGAGAGCTCAAGTCTTTGTAATTTCCCTTCATATTTAATTAGGAATAAGAAATTAACGTTATCTTCTCTTTGTACCTTGTTTAGGCCTTGGATATATGCATTGTACACTGATGACTAGAACCCAATTTCAGTTTGGGTTCCACCAGGGCCAGTCAGCTCAACATTATTACAGTCTTGGTCCAAACAAAGACAAATTTCAGCATTGATGAAGGAATGATTGTCCAAAGACAGCAGTTGACTTTGTGTAGTATCAAGGAGCCCTAGAAAATTTGAACTCAGTGAGAATTGGAGAAGAGCTCTCTACTGATTGGAGTTATTCTTAGCAAAGAGGTAATTGTGGTTCAAAAACAGAAATTGCTGGACAAACTCAGCAGGTCTAGCAGCATCTGCATGGAGAAAACAGAGCTAATGATAACTATTTCAGAGATACTAGGAACTGCAGATGCTGGAGAATCTGAGATAACAAGGTGTAGAGCTGGATGAACACAGCAGGCCAAGCAGCATCAGAGGAGCAGGAAGGCTGACGTTTCGGGCCTAGACTCTTCTTCAGAAATGGGGGAGGGGTTGGGGGTTCTGAAATAAATAGGAAGAGAGGGGGAGGCGGATAGAAGATGGATAGAGGAGAAGATAGGTGGAGAGGAGACAGACAGGTCAAAGAGGAGGGGATGGAGCCAGTAAAGGTGAGTGTAGGTGGGGAGTTAGGGAGGAGATAGGTCAGTCCAGGGAGGACGGACAGGTCAAGGGGGTGGGATGAGGTTAGTAGGTAGGAGATGGAGGTGGGGCTTGGGGTGGGAGCAGGGGATAGGTGGGAGGAAGGACAGGTTAGGGAGGCAGGGATGAGCTGGGCTGGTTTTGGGATGCGGTAGGGGGAGGGGAGATTTTGAAGCTTGTGAAGTCCACATTGATACCATTGGGCTGCAGTGTTCCCAAGCGGAATATGAGTTGCTGTTCCTGCAACCTTCGGGTGGCATCGTTGTGGCACTGCAGGAGGCCCAGGATGGACATGTCGTCTGAGGAATGGGAGGGGGAGTTGCAATGGTTCGTGACTGGGAGGTGCAGTTGTTTAGTGCGAACCGAGCATAGGTGGTCTGCAAAGCGGTGTTCATCCAGCTGCTGTTTGGTAGTACTATAACCTGCAAAGTTCTAACTCCATGTCACACACATCCTGAATTCAAACCACAGCAAAACCTTTTGTGCCCGCTTGGAGCTTTTAGAAGGACAGCTGGGGGAACTAAATTGGGTGGAAGGTAAAAATTCAGTTTCCCGATGGTGGATTGAAAGCTTTCCAATTAAGTTCTTGGAAACTTACAGGCAGATTGTTGCCCTTCATATTCAGGAACCTCTTTTGCATTCATTAGCATGTAATGGATACTTATTAATATTCCAGTCCCCTGGAATTATGTTCACAGTGCAGTCTTCCCTGCGTCAAAATCCTGGAATTACCTCCCTAACACCATTGTGGGTCTACCTACAGCATAGGGACTGCAGTGGTCAAGAAAGCAGCACACCACCACCTTCTCAAGGGCATCTAGAGGTGGCCAACAAATGCTGGCCAGCCAGCGACGCCCACACCCCACAAGTAAATAAATAAAAAACAAGTGTGTTCACAAACCCAACTGTATTTATGAGGCACGGACCTGGCAGGGTAGGCATCTTCCTCTGAACTCCAGTGAGTACAAACTTTATCCAATATTTTGGCTTCTTCATAACCAGAGATTTACAATGTAAGGGGTGAAGTCTCTCCATTTCACTCAGCTCCTGATAAGTCTCAGAGCTATGCAGTCTTACTTTTGTAGTTTTCATATTGCTTATAGTGTACGAGGTAAATGTTGACCAAGCCCTCTTCCCAAGCAAGGCAGCCACACTGGCTGATGTCAGTAAATCTCACAGGCGTGGGCTAGTGGGGCTCAAATAAAATGGGATCTAAAAGGAAAAGGGCTATACTGAAAAGGTGGCTCAGGAGGAAAAGGTTCACTGAAAAATAGACTGGTCTGGGAATGGAATTGAAAAGTTCCATGGTTGCTGGGGACACGGAAGGAACCTGGGTATGGAGGGAACAAACTGGGAGGGTCACAGTGATAGAGGCAATACAGGACAAAGAGTGAGAGCTACATATTAAGGATGGAAAACACAATCAAGTAATTAGATATGATGGGCAGGGAGAATGGGTAGGTCAAGGTATTAGGGTAATTGTGGGCATAAACTAAAAGAACACAGGGGAAGGTAAATGATCTGCATGAGATTGGAATCGGGGGAAAGAGCAGGCATATGAAAGGAAATAGTGAAAAGGATGATAGTTACAGGGGAGATCAAAGAAGGGCAGCAATGTGGGGCAAAAATGAATTCAGAAGGGGGCAGATACAGGGAGAATGACTCACATAAGTTTACAACCATCATCTTTCTCTGAGTGCCTTTGATTCTCGCCATAGGTGACAAACTGGTCACATGGTTATTGACTGTCAGACGCCCCAGATGGTGATAGGCCCAATCACCCAGGTTAATTATTAATTAGCCACTTATGGGCCTAAATTGGCAGCGGGGTGGAAGATCGTGCGTAGGCTTTACTGCACAGAATTTAATTCTGGTGGAGGTAATAGGGCAAGGGGTTTCTCGTGTACCACCATCCCAGCTAATTACATGCTCTTGTCATCTCCAGGTTTGCCACCAGAGAGAGCAGACAATTCTGCTAAATGTTTCAGATCCATGGTCTTCCACCAATCATGATGGGTCATCAACCTGAAATATTTACTGTTCTGTCATTTACAAATGCTGCCAGATCAGCTGAGTGTGTTCCAGCATATTCTATTCACTGGGTAATCTGCTTGCTTTGTTAATTGTTACTAATTGATTCAGCCTAGTCAATATATAATCTACTTCTATTTTAAATCTTTTTACAGCCTGTCTCCAAACTAGTTATATATTGTGATCACTATTTTGTTTAAATCACCCTTTTCAGAGATATTGTTACACACCTCTGGAGCAAGTGGGACTTGATACTGGGCCTCCTGGCTGAAAGGTAGGGACACTACCACTGTACTAGAAGAGCCCAAAATGCTTTCCATTTTCTACCCCAGTGTGTAATTGAGATCAAGGCTATGAATATTGATATCAGGTAGTTGTTGCTTGACTTGTTACAAAATGATCATTCAGTTTCATAGTAAGTAAGACGTTCTTAATGTCCCACTGCGATTATTGCTAATGTTGCTGCTCATTGTTTGTTATCAGTGATGGCCAAATAAGTTTTACTGCATTGTGAAAGATCTGAAACATAGTGCACCCCTGCAAGACCACTGATGTATTTTTACTTTACCTTATCGAGAACAGCCACGCCGGATCTATAAATGAAAAATTGAAAAAGATATTAGAGACATTCACCAGCAATAGCCTGTTTCTTCTCTGTAAATGTTATATGCACCCATATTATATTTAAGGATACATGTGGGACCTATGTGTCAATGATAGTTTTCCTTCAGTATGTACTCCATACAGTGTTTTACATTAGGATAGCTTATGGGGGAGGGAGCAAAAGGTTTAGCAAAAATGAACACCTTTGCTCACATTGCTCTTTCCCTCTTGTATAGTAGTTTGAGTTCACTTTGATAACTTTGCAGGAAGCAGGAAAAGATTTCAAAAGAATTGGCAAATTAATAAATACTCAGTCAGAAGTCACATGACACCAGGTTATAGTCCTGCAGATTTATTTGAAATCACAAGCTTTCAGAGCGTAGCCCCTTCAGCAGGTGAAGCCATGTGATGAAGGAGCAGTGCTCTGAAACCTTGTGATTTCAATAAACCTGTTGGACTATAACCTGGTGTTGTGTGACTTCTGATTTTGTCCACCCCAGTCCGACACCAGCACTTCTACATAATAAATACTAAACAATGCATAAGAGAGTTGTATACTGGTTAGAGTCAACCTTCAAAGGAACAGCGTGAGTGATGCTAGGTCTGCACATACTCTGTTTGTTGGCTTGCTTCTTTCCTGATGAGTTCACCAATTTCACCGGGAATACCTGAAGGCATCTGTGTGGCTGATCCAACAGAAATGAGAAATTTTAGTTACATAGTACAGTGACAGGTAAAACTCCCCAGAGCAACCAGTGTTATTAACATTGATTAGAGACAGAAAAAAACTGCAGATGCTGGAATCCAAGGTAAACACACAGGAGGCAGCATCTGGAGGAAATGAGCAGTCAACATTTTGGGTATAACCCTTCTTGAGGACTGGATGTTGGGGTAGGGGGAGCTGCAGATAAAGAGAGGGGAAGGGGTGGAGATGGAATGGTGGTGATAGATAGACACTGCTGGTAGGTATGACCTGATTGGTCGATGGGAGGGATGAATCTGATTGGTGGCTGGAAGGGAGGGTCAGAAAGTGGAATGGAAGGGAGGAGGTGGGGCTGGAAGGGAAGGCGGGAGATGGGTAGCAAGGTTATCTGAAATTGGAGAACTCAATGTTGAGTCCTCTGGACTCTAGGGTGCCCAGCCGGAAGGTAAGGTGTTATTCTTCAGATTTGTGTTCCGAGTTGCTGCAACACTGGAGGGGGTAGAGGACAGACATGTTGGAGGGGGAAGTTGGGCAGGGAGTTGAAATGGGCAGTGATCAGGAGGTTAGGTTGGCGGTTACAGGCTAGGCAGAGATGCTCGGTGAAATGGTCACCTAGTCTTTGTTTGGCCTCACGGACATAGAGAAGACCACATCGGGAGCACTGGATGTGATAGACTAGGTTGGAGGACATGCAGGTGAAGCTCTGTCTCATTTGGAAGTGCTGTTTAGGGCCCTGGATGGAGGTGAGGGAGGTGGTGTGTGGGCAGATGTTGCATCTTTTATGGTTACAGGGGAAGGTACTGGGTGGGTTGGAGTGGTTAATGGGGAGTGTGGCGTGAACTAAGGAGTAGCGAAGGGAATGGTCCTTGCAGAAGGCAGAGAGGGGTGGGGAGTAGATGTTCCAGGCGGTGGTGTCTAATTGGAGTTGGTGGAAGTATTTGAGGATGATACATTGGATGCAGAGGCTGGTGGGGTGGAAAGTGAGGACAAGGGGTCCTTATCCTTATTATGTTTTGTGGGGGATGGTGGTTAAGAGCTGTGGAGAGGGGAATGGAGGAGGCGTGGTGGAGGGCTGTCTGGAAGACAGAAGGGGGAAAAGACCATTGTTTGAAAAAGACAGACATTCAGGATGCTTCCTCACTTTGCATCTCACCAGCCTCCACATCCAACATATCATCCTCAAACACTTCTGCCAACTCCTGCTCCTCTGATGCTGCTTGGCCTGCTGTGTTCATCCAGCTGTACACCGTGTTATCTCAGATTCTCCAGCATCTGCAGTTCCTACTATCTCTGAACCAATTAGACACCACCACCCAGAACATCTTCTACTCCCCACAGCTCTCTGCCTTCCGCAAGGACCATTCCCTTCGCCACACTCCCCACCAACTATTCCAACCCTTCCCCTGAAACGTTAAAAGATGCAACACCTGCCCACACACCACCTCCCTCACCTCCATTCAAGACCCTAAACAGTCCTTCCAAGTAAGACAGAGCTTCACCTGCATCGCCTCCAACCTGGTCTTATTGCATCTGGTTCTCCCGATGTGGTCTTCTCTATATTGGTGAGATCAAACGTAGACTATGTGACCATTTCACTGAGCATCTCCAACTGGCCTATAACGGTCAACCTAACATCCTGCCCGTTTCAACTGCCTGTCCCACTCCCTCTCCGACATGTCTGTCCTCTACCTCCACTAATGTCACAGTGACTCAGATTGCAAATTTGAAGAACACCACTGTATCTTCTGCCTGGGCAATCTACAGCCTGGAGGACTCAACATTGAGTTCTCCAATGTCAAATAACCTTGCCATCCATCCCCCACCTTCCCTTCCAGCCCCACCTCCTCCCTTCCATTCCACCTTCTGACCCTTCCAGCCACCAACTAGATTCATTCTTCCCATCGACCAATCAGGTCATACCTATCAGCAGTGTCCACCTGTCACCACCATTCCGGCTCCACCCCTTCCCCTCTCTTTATCTGCATCTCCCCCTACCCCCACATCCAGTCCTGAAGAAGGGTAATACCTGAAACATTGACTGCTCCTTTCCTCCAGATGCTGCCTGGCCTGCTTTGTTCTTCCAGCCTCCTATTTGTCTACTTTGTTAACATTAACTTGTTTCTATAACAAAGTGTGACATTTGCCTCTTTTACAATAATACATTAGTAAGTAGACATTGGGCGGAATCTTCTGCTTGGTGGTGGCATGCTTTGAGGAGGGAAAGGCATTTGTTTAGGCAGGACAGTGGCCTTACCTCACTCTCTCTGCTTATGTGCACCAGATTTAAGTTCGGGCCTACTGGACCCAACTCCAATTGAGGTACTTAAGTCGCCTATTAATGACCACTTAAGGCCCTCATCCTGCCTCTACTAGGGTTAACCTACCTGTAGGTGGGCTTGTTGCCATGCAACAGGAACTAAAACTGTGCAATTGTCTTGTCATGTAGTGAGCGTGAGGTCAAGTGTGCAAAGGCACTCAGTGCCCGATCCAAGGCCAAGTCATTGGGAAGGGGATCCCACTGAGAGACAGATCTCTGCCTTTGCTGCTGAACTCCCCACATTCCTCTGCCTGGGACTCATGACCTGTCAATGCCCCACACCCTGTGGCCTGGGCTGGTCTGCAATCTTGGGTCTCCAGTACCCATCCTCTGGCAGCAGCCAGAGTTTACCCAGTGACTTTGCTGAGCACAAGAGCTGCCAGTTTCTGATGGGTCAGCAGCTCTCGATACAGGACTTTATCCCTGGGGTCTTGGTTCAGTGGCCTCCCAACTGCCTGATTGACTTGTGGCTTGGCGGGTTTCAAGAAACTATGAACCTGCTCTTCAAGGTCTCTTTGTTCAGCAAAACTCCTGAGGACCTTACAGTTAAGTGTATAAGTCCTGCCCTGATTTGCCTTTCCAAAATGCAGCGCCTCACATTTATCTAAGTTAAACTCCATCTGTCACTCTTTCGCCTATTGGCCCATCTGATCAAGTTAACATTGTACTCTGAGGTAACCTTCTTTGCTGTCCACTACACCTCTAATTTTGGTGTCATCTGCAAACTTACTAACCATACCTCCTATGTTCACATCCAAATCATTTATATAAATGATGAAAAGCAGTGGACCCATGACCACAACCCTGGTCACAGGCCTCCAGACTGAAAAGCAACCCTCCACCACCACCTTCTTTGACCTTCGAGCTAGTTCTGCATCCATATGGCTAGTTCTCCCTGTATTCCATGTGATCTAACCTTGCTAACCAGTCTACCATGAGGAACCTTGTCAAAAGCCTTACTGAAATCCACATAGGTCACACCCACTGGTCTACCCTCATCAATCTTCTTTTACTTCAAAAAACTCAATTAAGTTAGTGAGACACAATTTCCTATGTACAAAGCCATGTTGACTATCCCTAATCAGTCCTTGCCTTTCGAAATACATGTAAATCCTATTTAGCTTTTGCCTTACTACTCTACTTAGGTGTAAACTCCCACCTTTGTCCCTTTTTGAAATTCTTTTGATGGTTGAGTCATCGTGTTGCAGTGGTACTCTGGTGCAGAAACGGAAATTTGAATCCTTTGCTCCCCAGTGAGTGGGTTCTTTAGTTAACGGGGTGCCATTGCTGCACAATATGAACTGTGGAGATGTCTGTAAACAGGAAAGGAGAACTCATTTAAAAATTCCAGTTAGCAACAACTCTCAGGAGGAGATCATCACAGGATGGGGACAATTCCTTCACATATATCAAAATTAAAAATCCTACTTCTCTGCAAATGTGAGCATTAAACATTATATATAACAACAAGGGCTTTTACTGAAACCATACCAATGATTGAAGAGATTTTTAAATGCAGCTGAGTAGAAAATTAGTCTTGTTTTTCACTGAGGAAGTGACATTCTGATTTCTAATTTCTGGTTTCTTGATACAAATCTGCATGTTTCTGTATAATTGGCCCATGGGCAGCCTAATTAATCTTCCAATTGGTAAAAGAATTCCAGTTTAATTTACCAGATAGTAAGGAATGATAAATGTCACTGATGTTGAATATTATAAGGTACTCAATGTTAACATTTTAGCAAGTGACTTTCACCTGCCCTGGATGGGATTTTCAAGTCGAGACTTTTGAAAGTTTCCTGTTTGCAAATATGTATCGGAAAAGAAAATCGTAGGGTGATATGTCGTTTTTAAAAAGTGATTCATCTTCAGATTAAAAACAACAATGTCAAAACTCCCACAGGGCAGTGAAATTTTGTGAAATGTCTGCATTTTCTGCATTGTAGAAATAGATTTACAGATATAAGTCACCGCATCAAATGTCGAACAAGTCAATGTGAAATAGTCTGCTCACCCTAATGGGGAGTCCTCTTGACTTTTTAACAATTCAGTCCCTACTTCACTGCATTGAGAGCTGAGTGGATACAACTTACAAATACTGGCTGCAGTGGAAGCTGTCAGTGGTAAATTATTGTTTCAATTTGTACTGAAGTATATTGATTCATAGACTGGACGTGTCTGGTATGGCAAAGCAAACACACTCACTTCAAGTTGACTGATTATAGCGTGAACTTTGCTGTCAATACTTTTGAGGCAATTGCCTGAAATTTCCTCAATTCTATTCACACTAACATTTACGCCAATGCCTATGGCAATCTTGTCAATGGAACTTACACCCAAATTCCATATTTAGCATATTTGTCTACTTTGGAAATTGAAAAAAATTAAACAAATGAGATCCAGGACCATTAGAGGCAGTAGTGAGCAGGCTGCTTTCTTCTACCAACGTTGCCTCACCCTCAGAGACCATTGGCTGTTTTCCTCCTTCTTTACTATTATTATGCAGACGGTATCTCCAGCTGCATAGTCCTTCCGAACATATCCCTAACAGCATTATGGATCAACTCACAACAGGTGGACTGGAAAGGTTCAAGAAGGCAGTTCACCACCATCTTCTCAAGGGCAGCTAGGAACAGGCAATAAAAAAGCTGGAACAAAAACAAAGTTGTTGGAAAAGCTCAGCAGGTCTGGCAGCATCTGTGAAGGAGAAAACAGGACGTTTCGGGTCCGGTGACCCTTCCTCAGAGCTGCCCACATCCTACAAATGAATTAAAAAAACACACACAGATACTGAATGCATGGGTCAGCTTGTAGTAAAGATTTGCGTTGATTTATGAAGAAAATCTTTTTGTCAAGCTCCAGAAATTTGTATTTCTCTCATATCAGATGACTTAGAATTTGCTATGCCAACATTTTGATTATTATTCTGCTATGGTGTGGCATTGGCAAAAATTAAGGAACCTGGTAACCGCTGTTCTTTTGCACTAGAGATACATGAATGAGCAGCAGAGGATTCTACAGACCTAACACAGAAGTGACACTAAGCTTTAGAAAAAGTTATTTTATAGGATGGGCTGAAGGACTAAAAGTTAATGATGATATTCAACAGCTGCATGAGAAGATAGATTGTATAGGATGGGCTGAATGGCTAAAACTCTTGATGATATTTGACAAGCTGCATAACCTTCAATGAATCCCGTGAACATTCTTTTATGAGCCAAAGATGACGCCTGCGGCGTGTTTTCCCATCCTGTTTTTTTCTGTACCAGCCAGCAGTTTTGTCTTTCTGTATCTGCTTTCTTTGTGCTGGCTCTTTTGTCGGACTATATAAGAGGAGAGAGAGAGAGTTTCAATCCAAAGCGCAGGACTTTGTCTCAGCTCGGAATCGTGAATGGTGCCAAGAACGAACCTAAGCCTCCAGATCAGCCATTGATCAAGGGACTCCGACAGGCAGGAGGGCGTGAGACTTGTTACTTTTTCTAGAAGGACATGAGACTTGTTTCTTTTTCCTTTTCTCTTCCATTTATTATTACCACTATATTCATTTATTATTATTAAATAAACATTCATATTTAAGCAAATTGCTGTGGTTGAGCCCTCTCTTAATTATATTTACTCAAATCTGAAAAGAACTGCTTGAAGACACGCTATGATCCAAGGCATTTTTGGCGACAAGGATGGGATTCAGGAAAATGTGTAAGAGAAGGGAAAGACATCTCCGGCCTTCTGTATTCCAGGATGGAATGCAGCAGACTCTGGATTTGGGTCTGTAGCTAGCTTGTTAGCAAAGTTAGGAACCCCGTAAGGATGCAGGACGGTTATAACCAGAGAACAAGAGATAACTAGAGACAGATTTCTACACTGTGCAAGTGCACTGAACCTTATAGAAGTTTTACCTTATTGTGGTCTGGTTTGAATGCACCTTTGTTTGTTCGTTGCTAAATGTTATCTTGTACAATTTGTGTCTTTTGTTCCCTGGAGCTCGAGTTCTGGGGATACTTTGATGTTTTAGTTTGCATTTTGGGAATATCTGGTGATTTGAAAGTTTGTTGTGTGTATGTATCTGTGTGAAGCATGTATGGTTAATGTAATATCCTTTTAACAAATCATCAGCGGTTGTATAAAGCAAAAATCTGTGATGAGTTATTGATATAGAATTTGTGTCTTAAAGCATGGAAAAAATTCATTTCTTCAAATTAATCATAGGTGATTAAAATTAACTGGGAAAAAATAAAGCCAAAAAGAATCTCGGATAGATTTTAGTCCCAGAAATGACCATGTTTGGAGTTTCATTTTCTGGCCAGAGTGAACTTCCAAATACTGTTTTAACATGAGTGAATCTTTAATTCCGAATGATAAGATTGGATCATTATTAACATCCAAGTTATAAGGAAATTAGCATGCTGAAACTGCAATTGCCTTTGTGCAAGGAATTTAGGAAAGACTTTTCCTTCCTTTAAGGAGGAGAGACAGATGATATAATTACATGCAGGAGATTACCCCCAACTCTCTTTTTGAATCCATAGTAGATTAACACTAATTAACCCATTCTGCTTGACATGGAATGGATGGAGCTTGTTTGTTTTGTTTTAGATATTGAAGACACTGAAGGCTGAACCCATTTGCATAATTTCAACATCGCAACACCGTGATGAATGAGACACCCACAACCCATCAAGCCATTCATCAGTGACACATTTCAGTGTTGGGGAAGTACAGTGGAAATATTAATTGTAGTGAGTGTCAGGAATCTCAAAACCACTGAGCCTGGGTACACTTAAGCACATCATGACAAAAACTATAAAGACTCATATTCCCTGGTATTCTAAAACATTTAAATGGGATGGTTACCTAAAAATTTAAAGGGATTCTGGGAAATGATAAAATGCATGCACACAGTCTCAATGGTTCAATACATAAAAATGGTTAGTGACTTTAAGGGAGTAAACAGAACATTGAAGGTGGACAAATTTACATAGAGATATATCAAATATCTGGAATGAATTATGAAGTAATTTTAAAAAAGTGGGTCATCTTAGATAAAGAACAGACAAAGTATGTTGTGCCTGAATCAAACATAAATGTTTGACTTCTGTTTTAAAATATAATAAGACTATGTTCCATGGACGAGAAGTCTCTACAGTGGTAATAGTTAAGTTGCAAAATTGGATGAAATGAAGTAATTAAGGGTGGAGACTGGTGGCAGAAGACAAAAAAAAATTAGAGCAATGGGTTGAAAGCAGCAATTCAGCTTAAAATGTTACAGTAGTGAAAAGGAGGTTTAGATGAAAGCATGAAACTGATAGCTTTCTCTTGGTGATATTTATGTCCTTGTCCTTCCTTTAAGAGAACTGATTTGGTGATCAAGCCACTATCTGGGTCATTGGGAACATACTTGGAGAGACAAGTAAACCTTAATAGAATCCCTACAGTGTGGAAGCAGGCCATTCAGCCCATCAAGTCTACACTGACCTGCTGAAGAGCATTCCACCGAGACCCACCCCCATCCCATCCCTGCATTTCCCACCCTCAACACTATGGGCAATTTAGCATGGCCAATCCACCCAACCTGCACATCTTTGGACTGCGGGACAAACCAGCGCACCCAGAGGGGACCCATGTAGACATGAGGTGAATGTGTAAACTCCACAGACAGTTGCCCAAGGGTGGAATTGAACCCAGGTCCCTGACGCTGTGAGGCAGCTGTGCTAACCACTGAGCCACCGTGCTGCTCCAAACATCCAGATCCTTGACTGCCGGCAGTCAACCATGGACCATTTCCTAAACCAAAAAAGAACATTCTGTTCTGAAGAAAAGTCTGCCCTACACCCAAAGTGTCCAATGAGAGCTGCCAGTTCACTCCGAAGTGTAGCATTGGGGTGCACAGCAATATAGTGAGTGGATCAGAGGAGGTTCTAGTCAGGATGCTGCATGTTAGATGCCAATATCCATGCTTGCGGTATATGCGGTTACTGGCCACAGAGCATACCCTGATCTGTTCGTGACTGCTGTTCAAGATGGAGGGCTAGAAGAACAAGTGGAAAGCTGAAGTCACCATGTAACCACTGACTTTCAGGTCAGGAATTGTCACCATCTAGTTTCAATCTGGTGTGTGGGAGAATGGGAAACTACGTATAAATGAGGTGAGGTGAATTAATAACTAATGTTATTGCACACAAATAAGCCTCACTCGCCAATCATGCACCAAATGCATAAAGGTGGATAAATCCCCAGAATCTGATCAGGTGTACCCTAGAACTCTGTGGAAAGCTAGGGAAGTGATTGCAGGGCACCTTGCTGAGACAGTCGTATCACCGATTACCACAGGAGAGGTGCCAAAAGACTGGAGGTTGGCTAACGTGGTGTCACTATTTAAAAAAGGTGGTGAGGAAAAGCCAGGGAACTGCAGACTAGTGAGCTTGACATCGGTGGTGGGCAGGTTGTTGAAGGGAATCCTGAGGGACAGGATTTACATGTATTTGGACAGACAAGGACTGAATAGGGAAGTTCAACATGTCTTTGTGCGTGGGAAATCGTGTCTCACTAACTTGATTGAGTTTTTTGAAGAAGTAACGAAGAGGATTGATGAGGGCAGAGCAGTGAACATGATCTATATGGACTTCAGTAAGGCTTTCAACAAGGGTCCTCATGGTAGACCGGTTAGCAAGGTTAGATCATTTGGAATACAGGGAGAATTGCCTCCCTAACGGCATTGTGGGTCAACCTACAGCAGGTGAACTGCAGTGGTTCAAGAAGGCAACTCACTGCCACCTTCTCAAGGGCAACTAGGGATGGGCAAGAAATGCTGGCCAGCCAGTGATGCCCACGTCCCACAAAAATGAATAGAAAAGAAAGAACTAGACATTTGGATACAGAACTGGCTTGAAGGCACAAGACCGAGGGTAGTGGTGGAGGGTTACTTTTCAGACTGGAGGCCTGTGACTGGTGGTGTGCCATTAGGATCACTGCTGGGTGCACTGCTTTTCTTAATTGATATAAATGATTTGGATGTGAGCACAGGAGGTATGGCTAGTCAGTTTGCAGATGACACCAAAATTGGAGGTGTAGTGGACAGTGGAAAAGGTTATCTCAGAGTACAATAGGACCTTGATTAGATGGGCAGGTGGGCTAAGGAGTGGTAAATGGAGTGTAATTTAGATAAGTGTGAGGTGCTGCATTTTGGAAAGGCAAATCAGGGCAGGACTTGCACTTAATTATAAGGTCCTCGGGAGTGTGGCTGAACAAAGAGACCTTGGGAGTGCAGGTTCATAGTTCCTTGAAAGTGGAGTCGTAGGTCGACAGGATAATGTAGAAGGTGTTTGGTATGCTTGCTTTGATTGGTTAGTTCATTGAGTATAGGAGTTGGGAGGTCATGTTGCAGCTTTATTGGTTAAGTCACTTTTGGAATACTGTGTGCAATTCTGCTCTCTCTGCTTTAGGAGAAATGTTGTGAAACTTGGAAGGGTTCAGAAAAGATTTACAAGGATGTTGCCAGGGTTGGAGGGTTTGAGCTATAGGGAGAGGCTGAATAGGCTGGGGAATGACCTTATAGAGATTTGTAAAATCATGAGGGCATGAATGGGGTGAATAACCGAGGTCTCTTCCCGGGGTGGAGGTATCCAAAAGTGGAGGCTATAGGTTTAAGGTGGGAGGGAAAATATTTGAAAGGGACCTAAAGGGCAACTTTTTCATGCAGAGGGTGATGTGTGTGTGGAATGAGCTGCCAGAGGAAGTGGTAGAGGCTGATACAATTACAACATTTAAAAGGCATCTGGATGGGTTGATGAATAGGAAGGGTTTACAGGGATATCACCAAAATGCTGACAAATGGGACTGGTTTAATTTAGGATATCTGGTCAGCATGGATGAATTGGACCAAAGGGTCTGTTTCTGTGCTGTACATCTTTATGACTCTATGACTAGCTAGATCCAACACATTTTACTCTCAACGTTGAAAAGCTCAATCGTGTCAATCTCACAAAATTATAGCAACTTTCTCGCCAGTGCCCACATCATCCATTTCCCTTCATTTTATTGTGTTTTGTTCCTGCTAATGCTGCTGTGTGTCAAATTTGATGATATTGTTGTCAACATTGGCATTCAACTGTTCCTCAACCTCTAAATGGTTCACCACCTTGGACTAATCTGCAAGGACTATAGTTCAAGATCTTTTTTTGGGGCACTTTTCATACCTTCCTAGATGTTCCTTTGCTTCGTGGCCCAAAAGCACTAATTTACTTGGGTACACCAAGCAGACATCTGTTATGCTGAGTGTCTGCTTCATTGCACTTCTTTTGTATTTCTGGAGCTATCTACATGTTTGGGCAGAAAATATCTGCCTGAAACACTTGAGGCCATTTAAAAATTATGTAAATAATGTGAATTTACTATTAAAGCCTTTGGCTCATATATGAAGACTAACTACTTGGTGACCATCATCACATAGCATTTTCAGTGGAGTGGTGGGGGAGTTTATAGTAGCTGATATAAACATGATTTTTTGAGAAAAGACTCAGTTGCATAAATAATTGCCTGTTCACTTTTGGGCATTCAATAACACTCTCTAGGCAATTACTTTTTTTGCAAAAACAGTATTGGGATAATATTGCAAGGTGCACTCTCCATATAAACCTCATTAACAGTGAGCGCAGGTTAGAAATTTGGCAATGCAATGCTGCAACCCCCTTTGTCTTTTGTTGTTCACAATTAGCCAAGGCATAATGTCAGAAGCTGAGCAAAACAAAACCTACAAATGCCAAGTTAGTTACTGCAATGAGAAAGGAGGTCGTGAGGTCCTGTTGATTTGCTTCTGGTAAACCTGAAGATTAATGGACTGATAATAATCCACATTGTGATTACTCCTACAGTGAAACAGTCAAGCAATTATGTACTATGGTATCATTGTTAATTAAATATGGGTCATAAATTTCATGCTGTATTTAAAGCTGTATCACTAAACAGACCTGTTGAATGAGATTTCCAAACAGAATAATTACACCAATTAAAATTCTCCCAACCTTTAGCCCTTTAAGTTACCAAATCATTATAGTCTAAGGCATCATGCGGCACAATGGCAGTGTCCCAGCCTCAGATCCAGAATCTGAACAGGTTGGTTAAAAAACAAATGTCCATAAAGAAAAGAAAGATTAAAATTCATAATAGTCTATTCTTTGCTTGGAAATTGGACAATTATCCAAAGTAATCAAACATCATTTGCACTGTGCTGGTTCTAGTGGTGTCCGTGACCTTATAAAATGCCCAAAATCGTTCATTATAGTCAGCATTCTGCACAGAGATATTCTTGTTCATTACCATCGGTGGGAGTTAAGGTGGGTAGCGTAAAAAAGTCAAGGCTATTCCTGACAGTTAGCCTGTCATCATAACATTAATGGAAAGCTAAGACAAAAGGATAAAGATTCCTTCAATCATCTTCCAAGATTTGTCTCAATGTTCATTACAATATTTGTGAGTATGGTCAATCAGAGTTTCTAGTCAGGATAATTATACTGATAAGAAAATTGAGAGGCACAGAGATGAGAAAACTGGTATTCATCTCTGAGTCGTGGAATTGATTGAAAGAATTATAATTTTGCCACCATTGACAAGTGCAATGAACTTTGAGAGCCCTGTTCTGAGTTGATACGAGCGCAAAAGAGCTCCAATCACTGGGAATAACTTGACTATCTGAGAGGCCTTAGAGATTGCTGGTTTGAAAACTGAAGTGCCACAAGGTTGGGTTAGAGAGATTGTCAAACTGGTGTGAAGCATCTCACCTTTCCTATATTTGGCCATGCTTGTGACAATGACTGCCAGAGTTTAATTCTTCGTTTGTGTTTGTCAGCCAGAACAGCATCAATGTAGATTTTACAAAATGCAATAGCTATTGTTGTGATCCTCATTTATTAAGAGGATGTTGTGGTTGTTTTTGAGGCCCAATGTTTCATACATAAAAAATAATTATACTTTTGAAGATATTTGCGATCAGATTTTGAAAGCCGTAACACAGCCAACACCACAACTTTAAAAGGCAAACAGTGAAATCACATAGAATCCCTACAATACAGAAGCAGTCTCATTTGGACCATCAAGTTCATGCTGACCCTCCAAACAGCATCCCACCCAAACCTGCACCCCTACAATATCCCCACAACCCTGCATTTCCCATGGATAATCCACCAAACCTATACATCCCTGAACACTATGGGCAATTTAGCATGGCCAATCCACCCAACCTGCACATCCTTGCACTGTGGGAGGAAACCAGAGCACCCAGACATTTGGAGAACGTGCAAATTCCAAAAAGTTGCCCAAAGGTGGGATTGAACCCAAGTCTCTGGTGCTGTGAGGCAGCAGTGCTAACTGCTGAGCTACTATGCTACCTGATAGCACAAAATAAATCATTGGTTGGTGAGAAAGGGCCAAAAAGATATTGGGGAAAATAATTTAGTCCAGTTGATCTAATTAGTCATTATTTTTAAATAATGAGGTAAAATATACTTTGGTTTCAGAATCAATCAATCTCTGTTTGAACGGTTATGCTGAATTTGTACAATATCATCCATCTTTAATTTTTAACAGTTGACGGTTATTGTTATGTTTCGGTTGCCATATCTATTGATGTAGATAGTTTTACCTGACTGACTGCAGCTAAATTCTGTTGTGAAAGCTTCAAACCTCCTTCCGGGACTGGAGCAGAAAGCGTAGCAGAAGTGGCAGCTGTTGTTGCCTTTTCCACTCTGTGGCGGCTTGATTTGGCAGGCTTTTTTTTAATCTCGTCTTCATTGATTGTTAAATTCCTTCGTTTCAGAAACTGCACTTGTCTCGAGTTTTGCTCCACATTCTTCTCCCTTGGAGTACTGCGGCAGGTTGTGGTGTTATTTCGACCGATGAGATTCAGATGGTTCTCATGTCTCCGCTCAAGTTTCTCATCATAGCTTTCGGAAAAAAACCTTCTCTTTTTGGATGAGCCAGATCCCCCTGGGCTTAGACCTCGCTTTGGACTGCCCCCCATCATTCTGAGGCCTGTTATATCACTAGTCATTTCTTCCAATGCTTTAAAACACTTGTAGGACCAAAATGATTAATTTGCTTGCACCCTGGGCAAACGATAATGGCGCCAAAAACACTATACAGCTTTCGCAATTTCTTTTTCTGAGCTCCTTACAGTTTAATTTCGCTCTGATGTTTGCAAAGTGCAACAAAGATGGTAAAACTGGACAAGGAATTTTCAGCCTACTTGAGTTTAAACATTAGCTCCAGTAACAGACTATATATACTCAGGATAAATATTCTGATTGTGTACTGTTTTATAACAGACAAATATACATGAAAAATAACTTAATTCTGAACAACGCGAAAAAGTTTTTGGAACTATTTCTTTCTCCACTTTATGGATTACTGTGCTCTTCTTAATGAATGAAGCACGATTCATTTATCGACTATTTGTGATGCCAATCTTTCTCTGTCTTTCCTGTCAGACTGACAGATTGTTGCTCTCTGTTTACAGTTGCCACTTCCAATGTCCAGGTATTCACTCACTCAGCAAGTAAGAAGTTAACCAGGGACTCACTGCTCACAGTCTCACTTTGTTCGCCATCCATATATAAAACAGATTTGAACTTACTAAGCCAGAGATGGAAAGAGGCACAAAAGCACTGTGAACAGCCAGATAAAATGTTAATCCTTGGGCCCTGCTCACAGCCCTGGAGCCTGCAGGTGCTTCAGCTTTTCATTTTGATTCCTATTAATTCTTTTTCCAGCCAAGTTCTTCAGATGATCAAATCTCACTTCACCTCAGCTGCAAAGTTAGTCAGAGAGTGATACCTATGCCTGGTTTGAGCTGGGGATCAAATTGGGTCCCAGTAAACTAGTCATTTGCTTCCACTGCGCTCACGGTTCTTTGCAATTTAAAACAGGAAATATATCTTTTTTAAATAAACCACCACGCTTCTAACCTTCTTCCTGTCGCTGTCTCTCAAACTCAACTAGAACATGCGGTTTCCTCACCGTTTTGTCAGTTGGATCCCTCTCTTCACTGTTTTACACAAGTTTCTTTTGTTTACTGATATACCTGACAAACACCTTCGCATCGTACTGAGCATTCATTGTCGTCTAAGAGCCAGTGTCTGCCTGAGCACACTCTTAAAGGCCTAACTTTGTTCCTGTAATGTGCTCTGCTCCTTCTTTCTTGTTCTCTCTTCAACTCTGCCCGCCTCGCGACATGCAGTATCTCAACAGCACACTGACAGAGATAACCCAATTGCACAGGATATGGTGCCTTTTAGGCTCTGAGCTCTGACAGATGTTTATCAGTTTTTGGAATGGCGGAGGGGATAGAGTTTGTGAGAAAAATTAAAAATATTTTAAACACTCCCAGAAATCTAAACAAAAACGGCTATTGTCCTTTCTCCTGAACACCACCAAATGTTAGCTGATGCACTGCACCATACCACCTAAAACTGCAAACTGTTCCTGCCACACACTGGTATGTTTTATTTTTAATTTAAGCCTGAAGGGCTGGTCTAGTTTCATATCTTAAAATGTATGACATCTTGTGAAACCGGTTAAAAAAAACTTTTTTTAAAAAAGGATGCCAATTATGTGTGATATCATCCCTTATTAAAGGGGAACTTGTATTTGTAAGTCAGGTCCACTAGGCTGTTGTTACAGCTCATTATTCAGCTCCCATTCAGATTTTACCATATGGACTGCAATTATTAAAAATTGAACCACTTACAGAATATTCTGTTGAGTGCATTTGTTTCTGGTCTCTAAATTGAGTAGGTCAGAGGGGTATATTTATTTGATTCTTTGACTGAATACTCAAAGCAAGCTAACAATATCCCACGACCAACACCTTACAGATGAATCAAATGTTGAAAGGAGGAAGGAAAGACTATGTGGGAAAGAAAATATTTCAAACACACTCTGAAATATTTCAAAAAGAACCACTGTTGTCCTTTTCTTCAGCAATACCACTAAATGTTTTCTGTGACACACTACATTGCAACATCAAACTGCATATTTTTTCCTGCCACACACATTCTATTTTAAACTGGAACCTTAAAATGCCATCTTAAAATGTATATTTATTTTGCCAAAGAATTGTAAGCAATCACAAAATGTTACTTCACATCTTTTTTCCTCTATTTTACAGAAAGATGTCTATACCTATTTTTGACTAAACTATATGAATCCCATGTATAAAAAAGTGTGATTGCTAGTAAACCTACCAGGAATATCATCCTGATATTGGGTAAAATAAAAAATCATATGGATTCTACGCCAGTGTTTGACACAAATGCTCTGACTGCAAAATAGCCAACACCTTTTCAGGGAAAAGGAGCATTGTTTACCTATGAGTTTTACACAGACCATTCATTTAAGTGACAGTGAAGCACTTTAGGGATTAAAACTTTGCTGAATCCATTGTTTTTCGGTGGACACCTATTGTCAAACTTTCAGTAAAATATTATTCTCTCAAATAGTGATGAGGAGGCCTAGGGTTGGTATTAAATTGAAAATAACTGAGGCCGCTATTGTTTACTTCTCCATCCTACACCCACGTCTTGGTGCTGCTGCCTTAAATATTTTCAAATCAAGCCAATGTCATTGAACACCTCTAAAGCAAAAGGTGACTTGTACCTAGGCCTTCTGGCTCAAAAATAGGGACACTACCAGTGTGCCATAGGAGCCCTATAGATGTTACTGTTTCATGCAATTGCAATGGCCCTGAGGGTAATTAAATAAATAAAGCATTTATTCAAAGATTTTGACCAATTACACTCTTAAATTGGCTTTCATAGAATTACTAATGAGGATTCAAAGACTGTTTGAGAATCTTTCCTCCTCTACTTCAAACAATCTCGTTTAAAAATCTATTTAGCGTTAAAATGAATTTCAGTACAAGGAGAAATAGTTACGTCAGTAGAAATCTACAGGCCCAGTCTAATAGACTGGAGACAAACACGTTCCTAAATAGCAGCTGGTGGAACTTAAATTCATTTAAAAAGAAACTGGAATTGTAAAGTTAAGTTCTGTAAAGGTGACTATGGAACTATGATCAATTGTTGTAAAAACCTATTGAGCTCACTAATGTCTTTTGTGGAAGGGAATCTACCATCCTTACCTGGTGTGGCCTGTACATGATTCCAGATCTGCAGCAAAGGGATTGACTCTTAACTGCCCTCTGAAATGGCCTAGCAAGCCAAGCACTTGAAGGATGGATGTTCGGACATATAGAATAGGAGCAAAAGTAGACCATTCGGCCACTTGAACGTTCTGTACAGTTCAATAGCTGATCTGTTTGTATTTGAATTCGACATTCCCATCTACCACAATAACCCTTGATGCCCATGTCTAACAAGAATTTATCTATCTCCATCTTAAGAAAATATTTAATTAGCCCATCTCGAATGTGCTCTCAGGCAGAAAATTTCAAAGTTGAACAACCGTCTGAAAGGATGACTCCTATTTTTAAAACAGCGGACCCTAATTCTGGACTAATCCAGAAGAGTAAATATCTTTTCCACTTCCATCTTGACAAAACTGTTCAGGATCTTATGCACTTCAACCAAGTCACCCCTCATTCTTATAAACTTCCGAGGAAACAAGCACAACCTACCTTCATAAGAAAACCCAGTCATTCCAGGCATCAATCTCGCACACCTCCTTTGAACTGCCTCCAATTCATGTATATCCTTGCTTAAATAAGGAGACCAAAACTGTGTATAATATTTGTGATGTAGTCATACCAATGTGCTGTATAACTGAAATGTAACATCCTTGTATTTATGAACATTTTGTCACGTAGTAGAAGGTAGCATCCTATTGGCCTTCTTGTTTACATGTTGTATCTGCAAAATGACTTTTAGTGACTCATGCAGTAAAGAGCAATAAATGGAAATGTTCCCAGAAAAATTGAGGAGTAACACTGAATGTGATCACTCCAGAATAAGATGTTGTAACATATATTTCTAAAACAGCAAAAGATAATTAGATTTTATGGTTATGGTTGCAGAAACAATTTCAATTGTTTATTGACATTCATGTAGTTACAGAACATACGTTGAACATAAAAGAATAAATATTTGTCTTTAGGGCAGCAAAATAATTTGGGTGTATGCTGCTCTGTGCATATTCATCCATTAAGATGCTTGTTAACAAAATTAATGCCTATGGGATTAAAGGGACAGTGGCTGCATGAATATGATAATTAGTCAAGGAGACAGATAACAGAGTGCAGTGGTTAACTACTGAATTTTCAGATTGGAGAGAGGTAAACAGTAGTGTTGGAGCCACGGAGGTTCGCATTAGGACCATTACTCTTTTCAATAAATTACAGTGACCTTGGCATGGGAATGAAGGGAATATTCTCAAAAGTTTGCAAGATGACACAAAACTCAGAAATGTAGTAAACAACAAAAGAAGACGGTAACAGATTTCAAGAAAGCAGAGACTAACCAGTGAAATAAGCTGCCTCACAACAGCTGATGAAATTTAACTCAGAGAAGTGAGAAGGGATACATTTGCTATAAGAAATAAAGAGAGGCAATATGCTTAAATTTGAATCAGAGACAGTAGGAACTGCAGATGCTGGAGAATCCGAGACAACAAGGTGCAGGGCTGGATGAACACAGCAGGCCAAGCAGCATCATAGGAGCAGAGAGGCTGACGTTTCGGGCCTAGACCCTTCATCAGAAAAGGGGAAGGGGAAGGGGGTTCTGAAATAAATAGGGAGAGAGTGGGAGGCGGATAGCAGAGGGATAGAGGAGAGGATAGGTGGAGAGGAAACAAACAGGTCGAAGAGACGGGGATGGACCCAGTAAAGGTGAGTGTAGGTAGGGAGTTAGGAAGGGGATAGGTCAGTCCAGGGAGGACGGACAGGTCAAGGGGGCGGGATGAGGTTGGTCGGTAGGAGATGGAGGTGCGGCTTGAGGTGGGAGGATGGGATAGGTGGGAGGAAGAACCGGTTAGGGAGGCAGGGATGAGCTGGACTGGTTTTGGGATGCGGTAGGGGGAGGGGAGATTTTGAAACTTGTGAGATCTACATTGATACCATTGGGCTGCAGGGTTCCTAAGCGGAATATGAGTTGCAGTTCCTGCAACCTTCGGGTGGCATCGTTGTGGCACTGCAGGAGGCCCAGGATGGACATGTCGTCTGAGGAATGGGAGGGGGAGTTGAAATGGTTCGCGACTGGGAGGTGCAGTTGTTTATTGCGACCCGAGCGTAGGTGTTCTGCAAAGCGGTCCCTGAGCCTCCGCTTGGTTTCCCCGATGTAGAGGAAGCCACACCGGGTACAGCGGATGCAGTATACCACATTGGCAGATGTGCAGGTGAACATCTGCTTGATGTGGAAAGTCTTCTTGGGGCCTGGGATGGGGGTGAGGGAGGAGGTATGGGGGCAGGTGTAGCACTTCCTGCGGTTGCAGGGAAAAGTGCCGGGTGTGGTGGAGCTGGAGGGGAGTGTGGAGCGGACAAGGGAGTCACGGAGAGAGTTGTCCCTCCGGAAAGCAGATAAAGGTGGGGAGGGAAAGATGTCTTTGGTGGTGGGGTCGGATTGCAGATGGCGGAAGTGTCGGAGGATGATGCGTTGGATCCGGAGGTTGGTGGGGTGGTACGTGAGGACGAGGGGGATTCTTTTTTGGTTTTTATTGCGTGGACGGGGTGTGAGGGATGAGGTGCGGGAGATGTGGGAGACACGGTTGAGGGCGTTCTCGACCACCGAGGAGGGGAAGTTACGGTCCTTGAAAAACGAGGACAACTGAGATGTACGGGAGTGGAATGCCTCATCCTGGGAGCAGATGCGGCGGAGGCGAAGGAATTGGGAATAGGGGATAGCATTTTTGCAGGAAGGTGGGTGGGAGGAGGAGTATTCTAGGTAGCTGTGGGAGTCGGTGGGCTTGAAATGAATATCGGTTTC